ACTTCTTGTAAGCTTCTTTTTTATACTTAAGATCCGCTAGGATTTCACCGTTAAGCCAAGCTGGTCGCCTGCCATATTTACTATTCTTTCGACACATCGGGATGGTTTGTCCCTGTAACCTCAACAGGGATTCCTTGAAATACAGCCAGCTCTCCTGGACTCTTTTCCCCTTCTTGTTAGTCCCCCAGGGGATCCTACCCATCCGTTCCCTGAGGGAGTCGAAGTCTGCTTTCCTGAAGTCCAGGGTCCGTATCCTGCTGCTTACCTTTCTTCCCTGTGTCAGGATCCTGAACTTAACCAACTCATGGTCACTGCCTCCCAGATTCCCATCCACATTTGCTTCCCCTACTAATTCTTCCCAGTTTGTGAGCAGCAGGTCAAGAAAAGCTCCCCCCCTAGTTGGCTCCTCTAGCACTTGCACCAGGAAATTGTCCCATACGCTTTCCAAAAACTTCCTGGATTGTCTATGCACCGCTGTATTGCTCTCCCAGCAGATATCAGGAAAATTAAAGTCACCCATGAGAACCAGGGCATGCGATCTAGTAGCTTCCGCGAGCTGCCGGAAGAAAGCCTCGTCCACCTCATCCCCCTGGTCCGGTGGTCTATAGCAGACTCCCACCACTACATCACTCCTGTTGCTCACACTTCTAAACTTAATCCAGAGACACTCAGGTTTTTCTGCAGTTTCGTACCGGAGCTCTGAGCAGTCATACTGCTCCCTTATATACAGTGCTACTCCCCCACCTTTTCTGCCCTGCCTGTCCTTCCTGAACAGTTTATAACCATCCATGACAGTACTCCAGTCATGTGAGTTATCCCACCAAGTCTCTGCTATTCCAATCACATCATAATTCCTTGACATCACCAGGACCTCCAGTTCTCCCTGCTTGTTTCCAAGGCTTTGTGCATTCGTATATAAGCACTTGAGATAACCTGCTGATCGCCCCTCATTCTCAGTATGAGGCAGGAGCCCTCCCCTCACAGACATTCCTACCTGTGCTTCCTCCCGGTATCCCGCTTTCCCACTTACCTCAGGGCTTTGGTCTCCTTCCCCCGTGAACCTAGTTTAAAGCCCTCCTCACTAGGTTATCCAGCCTGCTCGCAAAGATGCTCTTCCCTCTCTTCGTAAGATGGAGCCCGTCTCTGCCCAGCACTCCTCCTTCATGGAACACCATCCCATGGTCAAAGAATCCAAAGCCTTCTCTCCGACACCACCTGCGTAGCCATTCGTTGACTTCCACTATTCGACGGTCCCTACCCAGGCCTTTCCCTTCCATGGGGAGGATGGACGAGAACACCACTTGTGCCTCAAACTCCTTTATCCTTCTTCCCAGAGCCACGTAGTCCGCAGTGATCCGCTCAAGGTCATTCTTGGCAGTATCATTGGTGCCCACGTGGAGAAGCAGGAAGGGGTAGCGATCCGAGGGCTTGATGAGTCTTGGCAGTCTCTCCGTCACATCGCGAATCTTAGCCCCTGGCAAGCAGCAGACTTCTCAGTTTTCCCAGTCAGGGCGGCAGATAGATGACTCAGTCCCCCGGAGTAGAGAGTCCCCGACCACCACCACCCGCCTCCTTCTCTTGGGAGTGGTGGTCGTGGAACCCCCCATCTCAGGACAGTGCATCTCATGCCTTCCAACCAGCGGAGTCTCCTTCTGCTTTCTCCCCCCAGACATATCATCTGGTCCACTCTCCGCAACGGTACCTGTGGAGAGAACATGAAAGCGGTTAGTTACCTGTGTCCGCGTTGCTGGAACCCGGACATTCCCCCTTCTTCTTCTGGAGGTCACATGTTGCCAAGCTTCTTCACTGGCCTCTTGGCTCCACTATGCAACCTGCTCTAAATCTTTAGAGCTTTGTGCCTGTAGAAGCATATCCTGACTTTTGTCCAGAAAATCCTCCGTTTCTCGTATGCAACGCAGGGTTGTTATCTGTTGCTCCAGACCTTCGATCTTCTCTTCCAGTATGGAGACCAGCTTGCACTTTGTACACACAAAGTCGCTTCTGTCCTGTGGAAGAAAGACAAACATGGCACATCCAGTGCAGGTCACAACAGCTGAACCCCTCCCTTTCATATCACCTTCTTACTATGAGCTTCCTCAGAGAAGCTCATAGTTATACCGGGTGTGTGCTGACCGCTGCTTTCTGCAGTTCCCATTGACCAGGAACGGTGAACCAGGGCCATGCCTGAGGATGGTCAATATAAGCGAAATGTCTCACGGTCCATCTGCGGATTACCCTGATGGGCTGTGTGCTGAAGGTTGCCAATCCCTGGGTTATACTGTGTCTGTGTTGGTGGTAAGTAGAGCTTTCAATCAGGTTAACAGCTGGGAAAAAGGCACCTTTCCCCCCCTAATCTAAATAAGGCCTATAACTTAATTTTATACAACAGATGTGCTTTGATGCCCATTTTGTACCCATTGTTGTTATGTGAGTGCTAGGCACCTGATCCAAAATCTGTTGAAGTCAATGTGACTCTTTCCACTGACTTCATTGGGCCTTGGATCAAACTGTGAGGCTGTTTGTGTTTTAAGGGGCTAGCATCCATCACTTTGAAAAGGTTTGTGTTCTCTACTGCACTGCCTTGTAGGCCTGGGCATGTTAAAATTAAAACCTTTTTTATAAAGATTATTAATTACTCCGCATTTGGTCATAAGTGTCATAGTTCACTTTAGGAAAAACAAATTTGTGTAACCCCTTAAGCAACTTTAAAAACTTGTTTGTTTGTTTTTAACTGTCTTTATCTGTATTACAACCCACACCATAAACCAGCAATACTCTGACTGTGGCTGACAAGCTGCAAGTGGCTATTTAATGCGTCTCTTACAGCTCTTTGCAGCGCATGATATTAAAACACTGATTTAATTATTAACCAACCAGACTGCTTTACTCTCTTATTAACCAATTAAGTTAGTTGCTATGAGAATAGTGACTAATTATTTCCCCTGTCATACTGTTCATATATGAATAGTACTATAGCAAAGGAAACAATGAATTCACGCTGCTGATCACTCATTTGGCTCCTGAACCACTGAGGTCTGAGTATGACTGCCTTAGGCCATTAAAACACACTGAAACAGCATAAATAGCGAAGACTCTTACTTTTGCATTTTGCTCAGCTTAGGCGGTAGAATAATCTCTGGTTCTCATGCACTGAAACAAAGCTGCAATATTAGGGTTGCAAATATTATCGGGCAATGTTTGTTTTCACTGACTAAGAGAATAGGAGCAGACCCCTGACTCTGTTTGCTGCAGCTGGCTAGCTTCAGTCATTTTTATTCCTGGGACATCAGTAACCAGCTGGAGTCTGGCATTTGTCTTTTGTTTTTATGCCCATTAACTAACAAGCAGTTAGCTGTAGTATTGCACAAGACATCTTCAATGCCGTTCAAAGGCCTCTTTTTTCCCCTCATGAGGGACACTGCAACATTGAAAACTGTAGTCTATTATTCATATGCAAGCATACACTTTCCCAGATCACTGCACCTGTGGTTCAGAAACCTCTGTACAGATGGAAGCATTCGCCACACCAGCAGAGACTTCCCATTATGCAGTTATATGCACTGTTGATGTAGCCATGTTGGTTCCAGGGTAATAGAGAGTCAAGATGGGTGATATCCTTTGCTGGCCCAACTTCTGTTGGTGAGAGCAGTTATTTAGCTGACTTACTGGTGGAGCTGGAACTTTACGCTCTCTTGGCTTACGGCTGCGGAATGGAATTCAGCTCCTACTGAGATCCAAACACTAGTCTATTCAGCACATAATTTAAAAAAAAGAGTCATTCTCCTGGCAGCACAGTCTAGCTCAGCAATTTAAAAAGTTTGAATGGTTACATGCTGCTATAAGAGCTATTCAGAGAAAGAAATGAGACCCTATTCATGGACCCAAACTTACACAAGTCAGAAATCTCCTTCTATATTAAGTCTTAACCAGTTTGACAGACTGCTGATCCAAGAAATCATTTAAAGTTCCAGCAAATCTTGAATCACCAGGGCTAGAAAGGGATGTTCTAGAGCAGGGGTGGGCAAACTACGGCTGGCGGGCCACATCCGGCCCTTGAGCTCTCGCTGGGGAGGGGGGGTCTGGGGCTTGTCCCGCTCTGGTGCTCCAGCCGGGGAGCAGGGTCGGGGGCTGCTCCATGCGGCTCCCAGAAGCAGTGGCATGGACCCCCTTCGGCTTCTACGCATAGGGGCAGCCAGGGAACTCCACTCTGCACGCTGCCCCCACCCCAAGCACCACTCCCGCAGCTCCCATTGGCCGGGAACCGCAGCCAGTGGGAGCTGCAGGGGTGGTGCCTGCAGACAGGGCAGTGTGCAGAGCTGCCTGGCTGCGCCTCTGCCTAGGAGCTGGAGAAGGGACATGCTGCTGTTTCCAGGAGCCACTTGAGGTAAGCACCACCCAGAGCTTGAGCCTCCACCAGCACCCCAACCTCCTGCCCCAGCCCTGATCCGCCTTCCACCCCCCAAACTCTTTGATCCCAGCCCAGAGCACCCTCCTACACCCCAAACTCCTCATCTCCAGCCCCAACTCAGAGTCCACCAGCTGGAGCCCCAGCCCGGAGCCCTCTCCTGCACCCTGAACTCCTCATTTCTGGCCCCACCGCAGAGTCCGCCCCTCCTCCCGCAGCCCAACCCCAATTTTATGAGCATTCAGACCTGCTGTACAATTTCTATTCCCAGATGTGGCCCTCTTTCTATTCCCAGATGTGGCCCTCAAAAAAAGTTTGCCCACCCCTGTTCTAGAGCATTAGAAAATGGATTCCCAGGCTTTCATTTTTTTAATGGTATATAGTATTCATCGTCCGCTACCATGCAGTTCTGGTACATAACTAATGGAATCCCATATTTCAGATTACCATCTTGCCTCCTCTTTGATTCAGATATGATTTTTCGTGGTATTAGCTTAGAAACATCTAGAGCATTTAACCTATTTTCCCAACTGATTTTTTTAGAGTTTGATTAGTGCTCATTTATTTCTTCATTTGTTTCCCACTAATTAGGGGCCTGGAGAGCCTCCATTCAGGCTGCACCCTGAGATGCTCCTGTGTCCCTGGGGTGAGGCACCTTTATTCTTTCTTGTTTTTAATGGTCATCTTTTTAGTATGTAGTTCACATTTTCCAGCAAGAGGGGGAGCCATGGTTAGGGCATATCTGGAGATGCTGAGTATGTGCTTGTCATGAGGGTGCATACGTAGCCTAGAACAGTGTTTTTCAAACTATGGGTTGCGACCCACTTCTGGGTTGTGGCATGTAAATCACTGGGTCACCTTGCTCTGGTCAGCACCGCCAACCAGGACTTTAAAAGTCTCATTGGCAGTGCTGCCCAGCTAAGGCTACCTTTTCCGACACCGCACTGTGCCCCAGAAGCGGCCAGCAGTGGGTCCAGCTTGTAGGTGAGGGGCCACGGGACTCCGTGTGCTGCTCCACCCCAAGCACCAGCTCCACACTCCCCTTGGCTGGCAACAAAGATTGTTTGGGGTGGAGAAACCCATGCTACGAAATTCACTGCAGAGGTATTTGATGTAGGATGACTATAATGTTTATATATCATTTGTGGAGGGGACCCTGTATATTAGTTATAGTACACACTGTGCACTGAGAATAGACCACTATAAGAATGACATTCAGCATTGACCCTCTTCTTCCTCCCCTGCTCCCCATGACTTTTGCTGCAAAACCCCTATACCAAGTAAAGTTGTTGGTTTTGGTTCCTTTTCTCCAAAAGGGAGATGTGCCAGAGATTCCATGAAATCTGCTAGGGACTTTGCTATTGCAATTAATTTTTATGTGGCTAGCACTCAGACTGCAGTGATTGGCAGGAGTATAGAGTCCTAAGATGGCTACATATTAGAGCCATTGCTGCAGCTTCCAGCTCTAGGAAGTCAGTACTTATACTGCTCATACCTGGCTTTTTCTTAAGTTCTTGGAGTGAAGAAAAAAAAATCCTCAATTAAATGCTATACATTGATAAAAACAGCTCAACTTAGAAAAAAGTACTTGAAGAGATGCTGAATTAGTTCTAGAGAAAACATTTCATCCTCTCAGACAGGCATCCTGGAAACTATTACTCTAAAAAATAACTTACAGGTGATCCTTGTAGTAACTCTTCATTTCCATGTATTTGTCAGGTGACTGAAGATTTGAAGTCATGGCTGGAAAACCCAAACTTTACTACTTTAATGGGAGAGGCAAAATGGAATTGATTTGCTGGTTGTTAGCAGCTGCTGGGGTTGAGGTTTGTTTTGGTATCTTGAACCACCTGTGTATATACCTGCCTCAAAGCTCAAACTTAAAGCTGTGTGGGGTAAACAAAAAATAAAGTGGAATTAACTGTGTATGAACAAAACAGAAGTTCTTCGTACCTGCACTAGATGCTACGTTAGTCTGGGTAGATAGAGGGGTGTGACCACGTTTTGGCAAAGCCACTTTAAATTATGTTAAAGAATAAGTTTGATTCTGAATATTTGCTACATTAGTTGTCAGTGAAATGTTTAATATCCAGCTCATCAGTTATGGTGGTAACATGCACAATCTGGGGCAGGCAGGATTGCCATCTGTCTGCTTTATCTTCTTCTTTATCTTTTGGGCTGGTCTTTCCACTTTCATGGTGTTCAGTTTTTACCAGTGTGACTCCTACTCAAGGTTTGTAGTTTCAGCTGACTAATTAGTTCTCTGGCAGAGAATTAACTGTATCCCAAAAGCATTTTGTCTTCTTTGGTATGTATGAGGCTGAGCAGGGAATATTGAGCAAACTGATCAGGATCTGCTGGAAGCTATGCAGATGTTCTGAGCAGAGGGGGAAAGACAGGCAAGTGAAATGGAAGGAAACCAACATTAGCCATAGTCCTTTCTAGGGTGATGTCAGATTTCTAACTTCATAGAAGATTAGAGTTGGAAGAGACCTCAGGAGGTCATCTAGTCCAACCCCCTGCTCAAAGCAGGACCAACCCCAGCTAAATCATCCCAGCCAGGGCTTTGTCAAGCTGGGCCCTTAAAAACCTCTTAAGGATGGAGAGTCCACCATTTCCCAGGGTAATCCAGTGCTTCACCATCCTCCTAGTGAAATAGTTTTTCTTAATATCCAACCTAGTCCTCTCCCAACTTCTTAAGAGAGAGCTTGAATGAGCACTTCCATAACATTTGCCTCTCTGCTCTCCCTCCCTTATAGTAACCACCCTGAAGTCACATTTAACTGACTTCTTGGTTCTAGAGCTCTGAAAAAACTCTGTTCATATCCTGAGTGGCGCTTTTTTCTTTTTTCAGTTTGAAAAAGAATTTTTGGAAAAAAGGAAACAATATGAGAAGCTCTTACAAGGTGAGTCTGGATGAAATCTGAAATATTTGACCAAGTTTTTCTTAATTTATGAGAAGGAAGGCTAAGGGAAGATTTGGTAGTTTGGGATCAATCAATTGCATACTAGCAAGGTGAAATGGAGTACTGACATCTGTAGATGGGAACGTTGCCCTGAACAGACAAGCATGCTCTTCAGTCACAGTGACTTACTGAGGATTAATAGACCTATCTGAGCTCTAAAGGCTAACCTGGCAGAAACAAATTCCCCAGAGCGTGAATGTTCTGTCCCTCTTCACGTCAGCCAGTGCCTTTGTAATGGACATTAATCCTTTCTGTCAGCAAAAAATCACACAAGCGGTGAATCCAGAATTGTCACTCTAATTGCATCCGATGAAGTGAGCTGTAGCTCACGAAAGCTTATGCTCAAATAAACTGGTTAGTCTCTAAGATGCCACAAGTACTCCTTTTCTTTTTGCGAATACAGACTAACACGGCTGCTACTCTGAAACCTGTCTAACTGGCCTGATTTTCCACTCTTCCACCTTGTATAGTCATTCAAACCTGTGTGAAATGCTACCATGTGGCAAATCAGGCTCTGTTATTTTTAGTATGTACTTAGTGTTGAAACTGGACATAGTGAGTTTTGTTTGTTTGGCTCACAAACCATGCAGTTCTCCTCATACCAGAACTGATGATAGCTATTTGGATCCCTTAATACCATGATGATAGGAGTCTCTTGGATATTTTCCTAACTCTCTCTAGAACTGTATGTCAGAATTGATGAGACTTTCCTATTAATAAGAAAAGCAGTGCTATAGAGTAAATTAGTACTTTGAGATTTGTTCCCTTCCCGCAAACACTTTTATATAATTGTCTGAGTTTAACTCCCTGCAAAAGCTTATAGAAGCATACACTGTGCCAGCCAAACCTACGTTGCATGTGCTAGAAAGTTTTAAGTTTCTGTGCTTCAGGGAAACATCTTTGTGACGGATTGCATCACAGAAACTCCCTTGTGACTGCCACCTGAGTCAAAACCTCTGAGCCTGTTTTCCCTGCCAGCTTGGGACTTCAGTACCTTGCAGTGTTTGAGCCAGACACGCTTGCCTGATGCAAACACAGATCCAAGTCTGAACCATGTCCCCCACAAGCTGCAGGCTTAACTGAAAACTGCTTAAGAAGTGCTCCTGTCTCCAGCACTCAGATACCCAACTCCCAATGGGGTCCAAACCCCAAATAAATCCGTTTTACCCTGTATAAAGCTTATATAGGGTAAACTCAAAAATTGTTTGCCCTCTATAATACTGATCGAGAGAGATGCACAGCTGTCTCCCCCTCCCCCCAGTATTAATACTTACTCTGGTTAATTAATAAGTAAAGTGATTTTTATTAAATACAAAAAGTAGGATTTAAGTGGTTCCAAGTAATAACAGATGGAACAAAATAAATTACCAAACAAAATAAAATACAATACGCAAGTCTATGTTCTTGTCAGTAGCTACAGGTGTGGTGCTCTGCTCTTGTTGGATGATGATAACAGTCGGCTTCATACATGTTCCCTCTGTGTGCTGCCCCAGCTCTGTGCAGATAGCTGACACAGCAGACCCCGAGAGAACTCCCAAAGACCACAGATGCTAGTAAGGTACGAAGGCACCTGGCCAGGTTTATTGTCAAACGAAGCACAATAATAGTTTCCTATAGACTCTACCAGACATACCACGAATATGTGTCCCCTGGCAATAGACACAGCTCAGTCAGTGGCGGGACACTCCACTGCCCCCTAGGCTGGACGACGATGTGCCCTTCCAGACCTATTCTTATATAGGTGCAGAACAGATTATTCATCCCTCCTGTCATATTGAGGTGCAGCCCCTTTACCCATTAGGGTGCTGCTTCTCCCCTGTTACATGCTGGTTCAAACAAATCTATCCATCATGTTGTCCTTTTGACCCTGTATGTACATGCATACAAATAGGATGAATATATCCATTAGATCATAACCTTTTTATAGATATGTTACATGGCATATCTAGCATAAAATATATTCCAGTTATGTCATATTTACACTCATAAGCATGTGTCTATAAAGCATTATGGCGTGCAACGTCACAATCTTATTTCCTGGGAAATCTTGTGTTTAATACAAAAGCTAAGTCAGAATTTTGAGCAGTTTATCTATTTTGGTCATTTTACTGGTATTTAATCCTAATGTGATAAAGCATAATACAAGACACATGCATATTATCTAAACATAATCCCTGGGTTGTTCGAAGGCCCCTGTGTAGAACAGTATTAACTGCCTCTCCTTTGCTCCCACTCTGCTGGAAAAAATACATTATGTAGGTCACTTTAAATGTTGGCATTTGGGGTGTCACTAATGCATTAAATACTTCAGTCTTGTTGATGCTTTTAAAGTAGCTATTCTCCTCGGTATTGCAGTGCCAATCTAAATGCTGATGTGTACAATCAAGGCTTGGCATGCTGAGGGGGAACTTATTATTTTTAAAACCAGGTTTGCTGAACCAAAGTAACTTTATTTCCTTCATCTATGAAAATAGCTGGGGTCCTTCCTGCAATTAATGATTTTGTTTTGAGTGCCTCCACTGGTACAATTTTGTTACTGACTCCCATTGACAGTTCACATCAATTTCATTACCAAAGTAGCAGTTCTTCTGAAAGTAACTGGAAACAAACCAGAGTGTTATTGGACCCCATTTCCAGGGCAATATAAAAGATTGGGGTGGGAGTATGGGACTGTTTCCTTTTTCCTTTCCAAAGATGGATTTCTGCTCTTTCAACAAGTGCCCTTGGTGGAAATTGATGGGATGCAGATGGTGCAGACCAGAGCAATTCTCAGCTATATAGCAGCAAAATACAAACTCTATGGAAAGGACCTGAAGTAGAGAGCAATGTACTGTAACACACTATTCTTACTCAGTCTTCTGTAGTAACCAACTGATTAACTAGAGCTTATCTAGCAAACAGATGTCGGTGCCTCAGGGGAGTTACACTGGTGTAATTGAGATCAGATTCTGGCCCACTAATTCGTTGTATTCTAGTGATTTATATCTAACAGATCTGAGCCAGTAAATTGCTCTGCTCTGATTTTAATCAGTCTGGCTAGGCAGCCACCACAGAAGTTGGCAGGTGATGGGGTTAAAATCCAAGTCTCTTACAAAGAAAAATGGTATTCCTGTTGCTGCAAAAATCAGACTTTGCATAGTGTGATGTTGCCTTCAGGTAGGATCACATTACATAGCAGCATTATAAAGAGTACATTTTCAAGTATTCCTCCAGTAGCTGTGGGGAAGGGTGTTTAATCTCTGCTGGTCAATGTTTGGGTTAATTTGAAATTACATCCAGTCTAATTACATCCTGTGTGTCTACCAGTCTAATTGTGACCTGTTTCTCTGGGGTCTTGGAACTGTGGGTATTCAGGCTTTGCGTGCCTGTCTGTCTTCAGCAAGTAGTTGCTGAACCGACTAGAGGGGATGCCATTTTAGATTTGGTTTTGGTAAGTAGTGAGGACCTCATAGAAGAGATGATTGTAGGGTATAGTCTTGGCTCAAGTGATCATGAGCTAATTCAGTTCAAACTGAACAGAAGGATTAACAAAAAAAAATCTGCAACTAGGGTTTTTGATTTCAAAAGGGCTGACCTTCAAAAATTAAGGAAATTAGTTAGGGAAGTGGATTGGACTGAAGAATTTATAGATCTAAAGGTAGAGGAGGCCTGGGATTATTTTAAATCAAAGCTGCAGAAGCTATCAGAACCCTGCATCCCAAGAAAGGGGAAAAAATTAATAGGCAGGAGTTGTAGACCAAGCTGGATGAGCAAGCATCTCAGAGAGGTGATTAAGAAAAAGCAGAAAGCATACAGGGAGTGGAAGAAGGGAGGGATCAGCAAGGAAAGCTACCTTATTGAGGTCAGAACATGTAGGGATAAAGTGAGACAGGCTAAAAGTCAAGTAGAGTTGGACCTTGCAAAGGGAATTAAAGCCAATAGTAAAAGGTTCTATAGTCATATAAATAAGAAAAAAAGAAGACCGCTAAACACTGAGGATGGAGTGGAGGTCAAGGATAATCTAGGCATGGCCCAATAGCTAAACAAATACTTTGCCTCAGTCTTTAATAAGACTAAAGAGGATCTTAGGGATAATGGTAGCATGACAAATGGGAATGAGGCTATGGAGGTAGGCATTACCATATTTGAGGTAGAAGCAAAACTCAAACAGCTTAATGGGACTAAATCGGGGGGTCCAGATAATCTTCATCCAAGAATATTAAAGGAATTGGCACATGAAATTGCAAGCCCATTAGCAAGAATTTTTAATGAATCTGTAAACTCAAGGGTTGTACCATATGATTGGAGAATTGCTAACATAGTTCCTATTTTTAAGAAAGGGGAAAAAAGTGATCTGGGTAACTACAGGCCTGTTAGTTTGACATCTGTAGTATGCAAGGTCTTGGAAAAAATTTTGAAGGAGAAGGTAGTTAAGGACATTGAAGTCAATGGTAAATGGGGCAAAATACAACATGGTTTTACAAAAGGTAGATCGTGCCAAACCAACCTGATCTCCTTCTTTGAGAAAGTAAGATTTTTTAGACAAAGGAAATGCAGTGGATCTAATTTACCTAGATTTCAGTAAGGCATTTGATACCGTGCCACATGGGGAATTATTAGTTAAATTGGATAAGATGGGGATCAATAGGAAAATTGAAAGGTGGATAAGGAATTGGTTAAAGGGGAGACTACAACGGGTCCTACTGAAAGGTGAACTGTCAGGCTGGAGGGAGGTTACCAGTGGAGTTCCTCAAGGATCGGTTTTGGGACCAATCTTTTTATTACTGACCTTGGCACAAAAAGTGGGAGTGTGTGTAGCCAGACTGCCAGCCCCCTCCCCCCCCTCCCCTCAGACCAGCATTGCTGGAAACACAGGAGGAAGCCGGAACAGGGCACTTAACATATATTCCAGCACAGCCTTTGAAGCTGTGAAAAGCACAGGTGTGCTGCTACAATGTGCCTCTGGGAACAGATACAACGATTAAGCTCACAGCAGGCAGAGGCCCTGTGACAGACATGGCTCTTAGCCCCTACTAAATAGCATGATGCACACACACCAACATCCTAGGTGGGAAAATATTTACCCTGATAAAAGAAATGTCCAGTAGTCGAAACTTATTGTTTCTCTCCCTTGCAAGTATAAACTACTCTTGCGAAAGCTGGCGTCACCCCGACAGACCAGCCTCAATTTGGCATAAGAAAGGAGAAAGAGAATAAAGGAGTACAGAGGTATAAGTAGGGGACCTACAGCACCATGATTTTTGAGTGCTTTTCACTATTTATCTGCTGGTCAGATAAGTGACAGCCTCCCAAGGCTTCTGCAGCTAAGAGGGTCCCTAAGCCTTGTCCCTTATTCGTCTTTCCACGGAATTGAGTGACCGATCCTGGCTTGGCATCGCTGGAATCGAGAGATGCAAGGAGGGTAAGAAGCACCCACACCTGATCGCCTATCTTTAGTGTACACATATTTTGAAATAGAGCTCTATACTTTGTTTTCTTTCTTTGGGATTGTGGCTTCAGTTTTGTAACTTGTTTGTGTGTGTAACATCTCTACATTTAAATAAGTAGGCACTAGCAATTTTGTAACCACATGATTAGAATCTAGCTTAATAAATTTTGGTAACCATTTGTGCATAAGCCTGACTTGTTTTCTCTGGTTTACTGTAAAGCAGCCAACACAATTAAAGAACCTCAGCCGTTTTGGCTCTAAAGCCTGGCCATTAGGTGAGAGTACTAAGAGCCTAGCATTGAGTTGTGCCGCCTCCACGGGGCAAACTCTTGGGGCACCTGTCAGTCAATCCTGGCTGCCCGCTGCGAAGGAGCTCTGAGCTCTAGCAGTTAAAGTCACGGGTGTGGAGAGGCTCTTAGTGCTGCCATTGGGGCACCTGTCAGTCAGTATTGACTGCCCGCTGCGAAGGAGCTCTGAGCTCTAGCAGTTAAAGTCACGGGTGGTTAGGACCTTGGGGCATCCGTCAGCCTAGCCTGGGCTGCCCGCCGCGAAGGGACAGTGCGTCCTAGCGGTTAAAGTCACGGATGGTATAAACGGGCATAGCTGGCACCTCACCAAACATCCTTGGCCGTCGGCTAACAGTGTGCTAATAAAGTTTGCAGATGATACAAAGCTGGGCGGTATTGCCAATTTAGAGAAGGACTGGGATATCCTACAGGAGGATCTGGATGACCTTGTAAACTGGAGTAATAGTAATAGGATGAAATTTAATAGTGAGAAGTGTAAGGTCATGCATTTAGGGATTAATAACAAGAATTTTAGTTATAAACTAGGGACGCATCAATTAGAAGTAACGGAGGAGGAAAAGGACCTTGGAGTATTGGTTGGTCGTAGGATGACTATGAGCTGCCAATGTGATATGGCCATGAAAAAAGCTAATGCGGTCTTGGGATGCATCAGGAGAGGTATTTCCAGTAGGGATAAGAAGGTTTTAGTACCGTTATACAAGGCACTGGTGAGACCTCACCTGGAATACTGTGTGCAGTTCTGGTCTCCCATGTTTAAGAAGGATGAATTCAAACTGGAACAGGTACAGAAGAGGGCTACTAGGATGATCCGAGGAATGGAAAACTTGTCTTATGAAAGGAGACTCAAGGAGCTTGGCTTGTTTAGCCAAACTAAAAGAAGGTTGAGGGGAGATATGATTGTTCTCTATAAATATATCAGAGGGATAAATACCGGAGAGGGAGAGGAATTATTTAAGCTCAGTACCAATGTGGACACAAGAACAAATGGATATAAACTGGCCACCAGAAAATTTAGACTAGAAATTAGACGAAGGTTTCTAACCATCAGAGGAGTGAAGTTTTGGAATAGCCTTCCAAGGGAAGCAGTGGGGGCAAAAGATCTACCTGGCTTTAAGATTAAACTCGATAAGTTTATGGAGGAGATGGTATGATGGGATAACATGATTTTGGTAATTAAATATTCATGGTAAATAGGCCCAATGGCCTGTGATGGGATATTAGACGGGGTGGGATCCGAGTTACCCAGGAAAGAATTTTCTATAGTATCTGGCTGGTGAATCTTGCCCATATGCTCAGGGTTTAGCTGATCACCATATTTGGGGTCGGGAAGGAATTTTCCTCCAAGGCAGATTGAAAGAGGCCCTGGAGGTTTTTCACCTTCTTCTGTAGCATGGGGCACGGGTCACTTGCTGGAGGATTCTCTGCTCCTTGAAGTCTTTAAACTATGATTTGAGGACTTCAATAGCACAGATATAGGTGTGAGGTTTTTTGCAGGAGTGGTGGGTGAAATTCTGTGGCCTGCATTGTACAGGAGGTCAGACTAGATGATCATAATGGTCCCTTCTGACCTAAATATCTATGAATCTATACTCCCTCCTTTAAGGCAAACTGAAAGTTGGAAGTAGCATTATTGTTAAACACTTATATAGTTGTAATACCTAGAAGCCAATTAGTTCAGGACCCCATTTTTGTGGGCATTGTACAAAAATAGGAAATGACCATACTTACCCCAAAGAGCTTAACCTAAAAGACTCGAAACTGCAGCTGGGATAGACGCATACACATGGGCAACGGTGGAGGTTCAGGAAGGCAAGGTGATAAATAGGGTGTGGGCAGGAGCAGTAATCACAATTCACTGGTTGTCTTACTACATACATGAACCAGGGGATATTATGTAAGACACAACTTCCTATAACTTGGCTTCCCTGAGAATCTTTCTTCTAGCAGAATACCTCCTTGTTAATTAATCTAGGTTTAACTTGAGCCACAGCCTTTACATTTTAAACCATTTCCAGATGATTTGATTCACACTTGTATGGTAGTGTGGTAGCCAACCTTATATGGTAGCTAACCTTATTACTTATTGCATGTGGCTGAAAGTTTTTGAAGTGCCTTAGAATATATGTGGGGAAGGTGTAAAAGAGCTACCAGTGATTGTTCCAGAGTAATCTGCTCTAGATAGTCATAATTTTTGAACTGAAATAGGACCCCAGTTGTGAAGCTGACAGAGGCTAAAGTTTGCACTGATATCTAAAAATGTCTCCTAATGAATGAATTGGGTCCTTCTGAGAGAGCTTTTCAAGAGACTGTCTCTTTAGAAAAGAGGGTGGGATTAGAGTTTGCATAATTGAGTCATAGTCTTGTGTGATGAGCCTCTAATTTCTAGTGAGACAGGCTGAATGGATGCAAGGAGGCCATCTCACCAGGTCATCTTCAATTGTTAAATCCTCTTGGTATTATGTTTTGAGTCAATGTCCAGATATATCCGATCCAGAAAACTGAATAAAGGGGGATATCTGAAAATTGCTACACTAAATCAAATCTGGCTAGGTACTGCAGTCTACTACAAACTAAGAAATTGCTCCCACTCCAGTTGAAGCAAAACTTTGATTGGCATCAATGTAGTGTTGTTTAAAAAAGCCCACTGTTACTAAGATCCCTAAGATGAGCTCATGCAATGCGGGCAAGAGGAGCAGCAGTGTCAGGGCCATCGCATGAATCCAATAGCCTCTTTATAAACACTAAATTCCCTTCTTAAATTGGAGAATCAGCTTTTCCTGCAGGAAAATAATTATACTTGTACTACAGCAAAACAAAGCTGACTAGTGATGCCTCTTTAGCCTAAATAAAAGTGCACTTTAACTGACAATCTCTATTTCTCTTTAGGATTGACATGTATGTGGAAGGAACAACTGACCTAATGGGGTTAATTTTAATGTGCCATTTCTTATCAGCTGAGAATAAGGAGAAGCAGCACACTGTAATAATTGAAAAGGCCACAAACAGATACTTCCCAGCCTATGAAAAGGTGTGTGGCAAAACGCATTTGCTCACTCATGTTACCCTTGAGACTTCTGTAATGATGCAAAGCAGGATCTTAGAGTGGGCACAACAGGAAGCAGAAGAACAGGACCCGCGTTTTTGATCAATGTTGTAACTAGTAAATCACAAGACAAGAGACTAGTGGGGGACTGGCAGACCCAAAGTCAGATGAAGGAACAGGATGAGCAGTACTTTACCCATCTGTCTATAATGTTTAGAAAGAACAGTTGTGTTATAGTGACGAATTTCAGGCTGGAGGACATGCTGCCACTTAAAAAAATCCTTAGAATTTCTAAAAATTATAGATTGCGATACTGCATGACAATAAATTATAATCTACTGGAGGTAATTCTATAAAAGATTTCATTCTGACCGATAGAGAAATTAGTCATTCAACTAAAAACTGATGGTTGTGGAAACACAATATAGTCCCATCCAGTAAGCACCAACTTCCCAAAGCTGAAAACAAGCATGAGCAAACTTGAGTGTGAGGAAAAACGTAAAACATAAAAATGTGAATAGTTGGAAGTTGACTTAAAATGCTCTATTAGATGCTTCCTGCCCAAAATCATGAAAGAAGGCTTCTTCAGGTTGGCTTGTTCTTCAAAAACTTGGTTAAAACATTAAATGAGTGAAATAATAAATTTCCATATATAAAACAAATAGAAAAATGGGGAGGTTGATAGCAATGAGCAGAGATTGGCAGTTAAGGAATTGACAGTTGATAAGGGAAGCTTAAAAAGCAGACAAATGAAGAAAAATCTATGGCCAACAGAGGTTTGAAGACCGAAGGAATTCTTCAAATGTAGTAAAACAAACTAAACCTTAGCAGGGGTTTAGGTCTGATATGAAATAAGGTTGATAATTGTCAATCACGATGTAGAACAGGCAGAAGTAATCAGATATTTCTATTTTATTTGGGTAAAGAATCTGAATGATATATTAATAGTTTACAATGATGAAATACTTTCTATTCCATCATTAACTAGGGAGGATGTTAAACAGCAACTATTAGCCAGTCCTGGAGACTTAAAAATATTTAACTGTGATCCAAAACTGACTGACTTACAAAATATTAACATACCTGTTTCACAAAGCAGCTGCATATTAGTATCTCCCTATCTAAGGTACTTATGGCCCTGACCACTGTAGTATCTGAGCACCTCACACTCTTCATCGCAGTTACCTCACAGGCATGTTGTGAAGTTAAGGGAGTACTATTTGTTCCTATATTACAGATTGGGAACTGAGGTACAGAAAGGGTAAGGGTGCAATCCATAATGATGCTTAGGTGCCTGTGTCCCAGTTTTAGGCTCCACTGTGATCCACAAAACCTGTGCTTGGCTATAGAGACATTCTAACTTTTCCTGGCCCAGTTAATATTTACTTCAATTATTTAATGTGGAACAACCTCAGTAGGACAGAATGAGGGAGTCCTACGTCAGACTGTCCTTTGGTTAGGGCACTCCCCAGAGGTGGCAGATCCATATTCAAATCTCTTACCTGCATCAGGAGCAGGGAAATTGGAATCAGGGGTTTCCCACATTCTGGGTGAGTATCCAAACCACTAGGCCAGCAGTTCTCAAAATGTGGGTCCGAACCCCAAAAATGGGATTGCCAGGACTGGCTTACACATTGAATGGGCCTGGGGCTGAAGCCTGAGCCCTATTAGCCGCAGCTGAAGCCAAAGCCCGAGAGCTTCAGCCCTGAGTGGCAAGACTCAGATTGCAGGCCCCCTGCCTGAGGCTGAAGCCCTTGAGTTTCAGCTTTGGTCCCCCTGCCTGGAGCAGTGGGGCTCAGGCTCCTCCCACCCCAACCCAGGACAGTGGGGCTTGGGCAGGCTGAGGCTTCGGTCCCCCCTCCTGGGGCTGTGAAGTAACTTTTGTTGTCAGAAGGGGGTCGCAGTGCAATGAAGTTTGAGAAGTCCTGCGCTAGGTGAAAGGTTTTAAAGAAGCACCTCCTCCCTTCTTCCAGTTTTGTTTTGGGCCCTGCATGCAAGTTAGGTGGCTGAACCCCAATCTTCCCCAGTTTGTACATTGCAAGCAGAGCTAGGTGCCTCCCTGCAGCCCTCACTTAGGTTCCTACCTCTGTGAGACAGGCAAGGCTTAGGACACACTCTTCTCTTCAGCATCTCCTATTGGGTAGCTTAGGCAGCTCTCTGCCTAGCTGATTTTTGTGGGTCGCATTGTAGTGCACCTCTCTCCACAGGCACTGTATAGGAGCCTACATGCCTAGCTCTGGTTTTGTGGATCACATTGTTATTCCTGTAATTGTTTCCGCCTCTCTCTCCTAGCCACCTAAACCTTTTATGTGGCACTCAACATTGCAACATCTAAGTCCCTTCATGGGGACTAAGTCCCTTCCGATGTACCTTGCCCAGGGTACACAGGATATTCATGGCAGAGCAGGAATTGAACTGACTTCTCCCATGGCCTAGCTAGTGTTAGTCCTCTTGTACAGTAGAGAAAGAGAAGCAAAGAGGCCCAGCAACTTCATTGGAGGTTGGTGGTCTAGATAGTGAAGCTTTGGCTCGAGCACTTTAAAAGGTACTAATTAGAGTTCCCTGTGTCCACACTGTGACATTTTTGTGCCTGTATCTTGCAGATCTTAAAAGACCACGGACAGGATTTTCTTGTTGGCAATCAATTCAGCTGGGCGGATGTTCATCTGCTTGAAGCCATTTTAATGGTAGAAGAGAAGAAGTCCAGTGTTATCTCGGAGTTCCCTCAGTTACAGGTAACTACACTAACACCTAAAACAGACACTTGACAGAAATGTCTCAGAGCCATTTGAAAAATAAACCTTTGCACATATAGCACGTTTTTGTTGTTTTTTTTTAAACACTGCACAAACATGAACAATGTTTCTCTAACTTTGTCATTCTGTGAATCCTTTATCTGATCCCTTTTCTTTCCAGTCCCCACTGCTTCCCTCTGGAAAACCTCGTCATAGATTAAAAACCAATAAAAAGTGATAGCCCTGTTATAGGAATATATAATTTGTCTTAAATTCTATACAATGGCTTTTCATTCTCCTTTCAGTTCTGTGGGGCTATTCAGTAGACAATAGCTCCAGGTGACAAGATGTGACTTGTATGAGGTGGTATTAAAATTATAGATAACTGATGCTTTCCCTTCACTCTGTGTCAATACGGGACAGGAGATATCCCCTGTGATCCCTTTACCATTAGTGAGAATAATGTGATGGAGTTGGGCGGGAAACAGGGAAGGCTGGTTGCTAGGCTAACTGTTCCTTTTGTGCCATTCTCTAGTCTCTGATGATTAAAAGCTTAAATTGCATAGTTAGGATAAAATAAGAAGAAACATGTTAAATTACCCTAATGACTTGGTCTAAGAGACAGAGATGAATATAGGAGCACAATTTACATAAGCAGTTAGAAGACCCATATACAGGAGAGTACTAACGCGAAGCTATTCTGAGTCACAGCACCGATGCAGGAGTGTCTTCAAGTTCCATAGAACTGCATTGACACTCATGATTTTTGGGAGCCCTTCCTTTGTTGCACTAGCACCAGTTGAGCTCTACCATACTAACAATGGTGAGAGTATGTGTTGTAGATATTTAGAGCAGGTGTTGACAACAGGGTATCAAAAACACTAGCAGCTGGTCTAATCTAGCCCTCCCTGCTGGAGCCAGATTGGTGCTAAAACGATGGTGGGAGAGTTCCTTAAAGTGGCCTATGTAGACAAGGCTTAGGGAATGCTGGATCCTAAAACATCAGTCTCCATACAACTTCACTCATGTACCTTAACGTACAGACAGCCCCTGCAATTTGAACATAGCAAGGTGACAACTCTTCTAATTTTCCTGTTTATCATTTGTACACTTAATTTTATTTATTCTCCCAGAAATGGAGACAAAGATGAGCATCCTCGGTTACTTTTGTTACCACTTCTATTGGCCTCCATTGTTCACTTACAGTAAGATTAGTTTTAGGTTCTTTAAGGTAAGTAACAGGGTAGCTGAACCCAGTTTAAGTTACTGGTCCAGGTCTGCTATTCCGGTCCAGGTCTGCTATTCCAGTCCAGGTGTTCCCATTTGGTCAATTAGGAGGCTGGGAGAGCACCTTGGGTGGTAGGAGGCCTGGTAAGAAAGAAACTGTGAGCAGACTGAGACAGAAAAAGGGCAGGCGGTGAGAGCTGCTAGAGACAGAAGGTGGTTCCTGGGAGACAGTTGCAGTCAGGAGAGCAGAAAGGCATTTTCTGGCTGGTGTCCGCAAGCCAGAGAGACAGGGCTCAAAGAAGTGGGAGCAGCAGAGGGGCTTACCCACTGACATCTCCTGGAGAGGTAGAACTGGGATTCTGAGGAACAGTGAGAAGGCCAGGGAGAGTGATGGATGCTCCCAACCGAAAGGCTGGGGGAGCCTCCACTTGGAAGAGTGGGGTTGCACCCCAGAAGGAAGGGCTGGGTTGGTGGTCCTGGCAGAGGGATGGACAAGGACTGAGGAACCTACCTGTGATGAAGACTTTGGGGCAGAGGTGGGCAAACTACGGCCTGCGGGCCACATCTGGCCCGTGGGACTGCCCTGCCCAGCCCCCGAGCTCCTGGCCTGGGAGGCTAGCCCCTGGCCCCTCCCCTGCTGTCACCCCTCCCCCCCAGCTTCAGCGCGCCACACGGGCAACACTCTGGGCGACGGGGCTGCGTGCTCCTGCAGAGCAGAGTGGCAGCGTGTCTAGCTCTGGGCGGGCGGCGCAGCTCCCAGACATGGTGCTCTGAGCAGCTTGGTAAGGGGGCCGGGGGTTGGATAAGGGGCAGGAGGTCCCAGGGGGCAGTCAGGGGACAGGCGGCAGTTGGATGGGGTGGGGTTTGGGGGCAGCAGTAGGGAACGGGAAACACGGGGTGGTTGGATAGGGCATAGGTTTGGGGGGGGGTTATATAAGGGATGGGGTCCCAGGAGGGGACAGTCAGACAAGAGCAAGGGGGGGTTGGATGGGTCAGGTGTTCTGAGGGGGGCAATCGGGAGTGAGAAGTGGGAGGGGGCAGATAGGGGCCGGGGGCCAGGCTGTTCGGGGAGGCACAGCCTTCCCGACCCAGCCCTCCATACAGTTTCGTACCCTGATGTGGCCCTCAGGCCAAAAAGTTTGCCCATCCCTGCATTGGGGTATGGTCAGAACAAGAACTGGGTGATACTGACTGTGTTTTGGGGATTCTGTTAAGAACTATTTGCACTATGTTTTGTCAATAAACTGTTGATAGACTAGAGGACAAGCTTGCATGGAGTTACTGGGGACATGAGAGGGCTATCACAAAGGGGCTCCTGAGAGGAGGCCGTGCATTTACAGTAAGCCACAAGATATTTGGCGCTGTCTTCTGGACAGCATTTCCCTCACTTGCCTGAACTATACAGAATTGCAGGTTCATAATGCAAATTCTTTATACATTTCAAGGTGAGAATACCCTTTCCTGGGATGGTGTGATGCTCTGTATCTTGGGGGAACTCCGTATACCCCCATGTTCTTCTTTATAAAATGATTGCATGGTATCCAATGCAAAGTTTGTCATGTTGGGTGTCTTTGGAAGGCTCATGATGCACTGAGCATGGTTGTTACAGTAATGTTATAATTTCATGTATGTAGTTATGAGGCTGAAAATGTATCCTCATGGCTTAAAAATAAGCCCAGGCAAAAATAAGCCCAGGCAAAAACACTCCAAAACCTAAGAGGCAGTTCACACCTCATCAGAGCATGTATGGGACAAACCCAGCCCAGCCCTACAGGAACAAAGGACGTTGGCCTAGGCAGCAACAAAAGAATCTGTCAGACTCTCCAGTGAGTCAGCCCCCTTCCTTTGGTCAGTTTGGAACAGCAATGAGGTAATGCTCACCTGACTCTGAAGGGTTGGGGGGGTGCAAAACCAAGAGGGAAGAAAGGGCATGATAAAAGAGAGAGACATTTGCCATGCGCGCACGCTCTCTCTCTCTTCCACCTACATCTACAGACACAACACCAAGCGACTGAAGTGATGATCAAAGGGGAGAGCCAGGCTGAAGGGTGAGAAGCATCTAAGTTTGTAAGGCACTGAAAGCGTTAAGAGCAGCTTAGAATGCGTTTTGCTTTTATTTCATTTGACCAAATCTGACTTATTATGCTTTGACTTATAATCACTTAAAATTTATCTTTGTAGTTTGTTTATTCTACCTGAAGCAGTGCGTTTGGTTTGAAGTGTATCAGAGACTCCTCTTGGGATAACAAGCCTGGTACATATCAATTTCTTTGTTAAATTGACAAAACTCATATAAGTTTGCAGCGTCCAGCGGGTATAACTGGACACTGCAAGACGGAGGTTCCTAGGGTTGTGTCTGGGACCGGAGATATTGACTAGTGTCATTCGGTTGCACAGTCCAAGGAGCAGCTTACATGCCAGAAGCTGTGCATGAACAGCTGATGAGTGGGGGTTCTCACAGCAGAGCAGGGTAAGGCTGGCTCCCAGAGTCAAGGATTATGGTGACCTAGCAGGTCACCGGTCCAGATAACACCAGAGGGGAATATCACAGATGGCTTTTGTGAAAAGCCTTCCTAGAGGGGCCTCTAGGTTTCTCAGTTGGTGAACTATAGAGCCGCACAAGGTGACAAATGTAAGAGACACACATCAATGTGTTGGGAATCCTGAACTAGCTGTTGAGAACTACATACCTTTTCCAGGCCTGAAGAAGAACTCAGTGTGACTCGAAAGCTTGTCTCTCACCAACAGAAGTTGGTCCAGTAAAAGATACTACCTCACCCACCTTGTCTACCTTAAACTCTGGCATTCTTATGGTTAAATGGCAACCAAACACTGCCTTCTTCAGTCAGGTCCTCTGCTTTTACACAAATTGATGTAATTTTTTTCCTCTCATGTTCTGGCCTTTAAATATTCTTGTGATGTTTCCTGTTTTTAGGCTTTTAAAGCAAGAAAAAGCAACATCCCCACAGTTAAGAAATTTCTGGAGCCTGGCAGCCAGAGGAAACCTGTCCCTAATGATAAATATATGGAGACTGAAGAAAGTCCTCCGAATGAACTTTTAATGTGTAAGCAAATTAATGTGGCTGGTTAAAATAGCACTGAGGAGCTCAGTTCTAGCAAATACTCACACTTAAACTGCTTAGAATGTACATGTGCTGGTAAGCTACAGATAAAGGTATATCACACTTGAATGGAAGAGCTAACTGAAAAATATGTGATGCTAGAGAGGTGGATAACAAATAGAAAACACGATGTACAAATATTAATTACTATGCTACTTGTCTGCATTTAGTAAGATGTATTTTTATTAAATTTCTCTTGCTGTTCTGAGTTAATAAAATTAATACACATAGTCTAGCTAGAAAATTTTGATTTTCTGAAGGAAGGTGAAACCTCCAGCATAATCACTTTTCACTAGTATAAGCGTTTTCTGCCAACTCCAAGGGTTTACTCAAAAATCCAGAGAAGATTTCAGTGCGATGAAGGGTTCTGTTTTGCTTGCACTTAGCTTTTTGATGGTGGAAAATGACCCCTGGAAAATGAGTAATTTTTTTTAAAAGCCAGGAGGATGTTACTAGATCATGACACAGGGAAGAAAGGTAAGCAGCAGGATATGGACCCTGGACTTCAGGAAAGCAGACTTCGACTCCCTCAGGGAACAGATGGGTAGGATCCCCTGGCGGATTAACATGAAGGGGAAAGGAGTCCAGGAGAGCTGGCTGTATTTCAAGGAATCCCTGTTGAGGTTACAGGGACAAACCATCCCGATGTGTCGAAAGAATAGTAAATATGGCAGGCGACCAGCTTGGCTTAACGGTGAAATCCTAGCGGATCTTAAACATAAAAAAGAAGTTTACGACAAGTGGAAGGTTGGACATATGACCAGGGAAGAGTAAAAATATTGCTCAGGCATGTAGGAATGAAATCAGGAGGGCCAAATTGCACCTGGAGCTGTAGCTAGCAAGAGATGTCAAGAGTAACAAGAAGGGTTTCTTCAGGTATGTTGGCAACAAGAAGAAAGCCAAGGAAAGTGTGGGCCCCTTACTGAATGAGGGAGGCAACCTAGTGACAGAGGATGTGGAAAAAGCTAATGTACTCAATGCTTTTTTTGCCTCTGTCTTCACTAACAAGGTCAGCTCCCAGACTGCTGCGCTGGGCATCACCGCATGGGGAGTAGATGGCCAGCCCTCTGTGGAGAAAGAGGTGGTTAGGGACTATTTAGAAAAGCTGGATGTGCACAAGTCCATGGGGCCGGACGAGTTGCATCCGAGAGTGCTAAAGGAACTGGCGGCTGTGGTTGCAGAGCCATTGGCCATTATCTTTGAAAACTCATGGCGAACGGGGGAAGTCCCGGATAACTGGAAAAAGGCTAATGTAGTGCCAATCTTTAAAAAAGGGAAGGAGGAGGATCCTGGGAACTACAGGCCAGTGAGCCTGAAAAATCATGCAGCAGGTCCTCAAAGAATCAATCCTGAAGCACTTACATGAGAGGAAAGTGATCAGGAACAGTCAGCATGGATTCACCAAGGGAAGGTCATGCCTGACTAATCTAATTGCCTTCTATGATGAGATTACTGGTTCTGTGGATGAAGGGAAAGCAGTGGATGTATTGTATCTTGACTTTAGCAAAGCTTTTGACACGGTCTCCCACAGTATTCTTGTCAGCAAGTTAAAGAAGTATGGGCTGGATGAATGCACTATAAGGTGGGTAGAAAGTTGGCTAGATTGTCGGGCTCAACGGGTAGTGATCAATGGCTCCATGTCTAGTTGGCAGCTGGTGTCAAGTGGAGTGCCCCAGGGGTCGGTCCTGGGGCCGTTTTTGTTCAATATCTTCATAAATGATCTGGAGGATGGTGTGGATTGCACTCTCAGCAAATTTGCGGATGATACTAAACTGGGAGGAGTGGTAGATACGCTGGAGGGCAGGGATAGGATACAGAGGGAGCTAGACAAATTGGAGGATTGGGCCAAAAGAAATCTGATGAGGTTCAATAAGAATAAGTTCAGGGTCCTGCACTTAGGACGGAAGAACCCAATGCACAGCTACAGATTAGGGACCGAATGGCTAGGCAGCAGTTCTGCGGAAAAGGACCTAGGGGTGACAGTGGACGAGAAGCTGGATATGAGTCAGCAGTGTGCCCTTGTTGCCAAGAAGGCCAATGGCATTTTGGGATGTATAAGTAGGGGCATAGCGAGTAGATCGAGGGACGTGATCGTCCCCCTCTATTCGACATTGGTGAGGCCTCATCTGGAGTACTGTGTCCAGTTTTGGGCCCCACACTACAAGAAGGATGTGGATAAATTGGAGAGAGTCCAGCGAAGGGCAACAAAAATGCTTAGGGGTCTGGAACACATGACTTATGAGGAGAGGCTGAGGGAACTGGGATTGTTTAGTCTGCAGAAGAGAAGAATGAGGGGGAATTTGATAGCTGCTTTCAACTACCTGAGAGGTGGTTCCAGAGAGGATGGTTCTAGACTATTCTCAGTAGTAGAAGAGGACAGGACAAGGAGTAATGGTCTCAAGTTGCAGTGAGGGAGGTTTATGTTGGATATTAGGAAAAACTTTTTCACTAGGAGGGTGGTGAAACACTGGAATGCATTACCTAGGGAGGTGGTAGAATCTCCTTCCTTAGAAGTTTTTAAGGTCAGGCTTGACAAAGCCCTGGCTGGGATGATTTAATTGGGGATTGGTCCTGCTTTGAGCAGGGGGTTGGACTAGATGACCTCCTGAGGTCCCTTCCAACCCAGATATTCTATGATTCTAGATCTCTCAAGTGAGTCAAGTTTGTGAGACACAAACATATCAGCTCTAAAATGTCCACATCCTGCATTTGTATCAAACTTTTATCTCCTTCTGCCCCTGCATTATTAAACATCTTAGGAGGTTCTATCGTTGAGTGTAGCCGTCTTGTATCTAACTTGTTCCATAAATATTCACTCAGCAATAATATGGAAGACCTTTTCTAACCTGATAAAATAATTTCATTTGTATGTGCGTAGTATTGCTTTTCTTTTTTTAATTTGTTGATTAATTGTTGAAACATGTTTTAAGTGAAGTGGACATCAGAGTTTAGAAATTCCTATGATTTTAATAACCTGATATAACTTTCTTTCCTAGTTTCAAAATACAAACTATACACATCTCCTAAAACTTATCCATTGCACTTGGGTTAATAAAATTCCTAATCTAATGCTCCTGCTATTGTAGACGGACAAGGCATACGGGGGGGCAGGAGAAAAAATTGGCATGTATCTCTTACCCCAAGCCATGTTTGGCTTTGTCATGGTCCCTCACCACTCTGAACTCTGGGGTACAGATGTAGGGACCCGCATGAAAGACCCCCTAAGCTTATTTCTACCAGCTTAGGTTAAAACTTCCCCAAGGCACAAATCCCTTCTTGTCCTTGTACGGTATTCGCTGCCACCACCAAGTGAGTTAGACAAAGATTCAAGGAAAAGAACCACTTTGAGTTCCTCTTCCCCAAAATATTCCCCTCAAGCTCTTTCATCCCCTTTCCTGGGGAGGCTTAAGAATAATATCCTCACCAATTGGTACAGGTGAGCACAGACCAAATCTCTGGGTTTTTAGGATACTAAAACCAATCAGATTCTTTAAAAAACAGAACTTTATTATAAAGAAAAAAAGTAAAAGAAGCACCTCTGTAAAATCAGGATGGAAGGTAATTTTATAGGGTAATCAAATTCAAAACAGAGGATTCCCCTCTAGGCAAAACTTAAAAGTTACAAAAAACAGGGATAAACCTCCTTCTAAGCATAGGGAAAATTTGCAAGCTAAAACAAAAGATACTCTAACGTATTTCCTTGCTATTACTTACTATTTCTGTAATTTTAGATGTATCATTCAGTAGGAGCTGGATTACTTGCTTGGTCTCTCTCTTTGTCTCTGGAGAGAACAAAAGCCCAAAACAAAAACCTTCCCCCACAGATTTGAAATTATCTTCTCCCCTTATTGGTCCTTTTGGTCAGGTGTCAACCAAAGCTTCTTAAACCTTTGCAGGTAAAGGAGGGATTTTAGGATACCCTTAGCTGTATGTTTATGACATGGCAAATTAATCTTCAGAGGGATTTCATGTGTGTTTATCAACGCTTGAGCCAGGTGAAGTACAGTTACGCACTGTAAAATGCTATCACATTCCATATTTTGTGTCAAGTGAGCTCATTTTACAGGTAAAAAGATTTCTCCCCATTCTCCTATTGGCACTATTCAACTTCTGCAAGTTACAGGGTAGGAAGGAAAATGCTGCTCAGCAAGAATAACCAATTTATGGGGCAATTGTGGTGTAATGGGAAGCATACTCATTACAATACAGTATGCTTGCCAGCACCCACATAGATTCCATGCTCTTCTGGGAAGCTCCCAAGCCTGAAGTTGACTAGACATGTCAGCATTAGGGCTGTATTTCCTTCATCCAAGAGAAGTTTTGGGCTGATCTGTCTATCTTGGCTCATGTCTGTTGTCACCTGCCTAATGTTAATTGCAGCTCTAGTTTAATCCTTGGATTAATCTGAGAAATTTGAGCTAGAAGGGACCTGGAGATTATCTGGTCCAGCCCCCTGCCCTGAGGCAGGACCAAGTACATCTAGACCATCCCAGGCAGGTGCTGGTCTAAGGTGTTATTAGACACCTCCAATGATGAGGATTCCACAACCTCCCTTGGAAGCCTGTTCTAGTGCTTAATTATCCTTGTAGTTAGAAAATTTTTCATAATATCTCACCTAAATGTCCCTTGCTGCAGGTTAAATCCATAACTTCTTGTCCTACCTTCAGCAAACATGGAGAACAATTGATCACAGTCCTCTTTATAGGTTTCAGAGAAGCAGCCGTGTTAGTCTGTATTCACAAAAAGAAAAGGAGTACTTGTGGCACCTTAGAGACTAACATTTATTTGAGCATAAGCTTTCGTGAGCTACAGCTCACTTCATCGGATGCATTCATGCTTTTTTTTTTTATTTTTTCCACTGAATACATCCAATGAAGTGAGCTGTAGCTCACGAAAGCTTATGCTCAAATAAATATTAGTCTAAGGTGCCACAAGTAGTCCTTTTTATAACAGTCCTTAACTTATTTGAAGACTGCCCCATCAGTCATTTCTCAATATTAAACATACCCAGTTTATTTAACCTTTCCTCTTAGGTCAGGTTTTCTAAACCTGTTACCACTTTTGTTGCTCTCCTCTGGATTCTCTCCATTTAGTCCACATCTTTCTTAAATTGTGGCACCCAGAATTGGACACAGTGCTCCAACTGAGGCCTCACTAGCA